ACTTCTCGAGGAGGTCGACAGTGAGAGTGGTGGGACAGACTGAGAGGAAGTGGTCCCTGACTACGTGAAGGGAGTCAGGGAGGCGTGTGACTATGTAATAGAGAGTGATGTACATGGGGGGGGGGTTCTTGGCGCAGAACTCAGCAGGAAGGGCGGCGCGGTAGCGAGTGTCACTAGTGCGGAGGTGCGTAATGAGGTCAGCGACAGTGGGAAAGGCAGTAAGGTCAGGAAAGAGGTACGGTAGCATGAGGCGGCTCAGTGCAGCAGTGGCAGGGGAAGAGTAGCGCGCAACTACAGCGTCGTACAAGGTCTGAGCACTCTTGTACTGACTAAAGTGCGCGCGCTCAGTGGTAGGCAGGTGGCGACGCACAGCAAGACGTGCAGCAGCATCGCGCGTGGCCCACTGGGAGCGAACAGTAGGGTCAGCATCAGCAGCAGGGGCAGGAGAGGCGCCAGAGGTGAGGTCAAAGAGGGAAAGACCGTCCGCCCTGTCGCACTGTAAGAAAAGCTGCAGGTCGTCGACCCAGACCTCAAAGTCAATGGCTCGACCCTCAGCGTCAAAAGCGAGGACACTAGGGGTAGCCATGACGACGACAGTGTAGTAGTGCAAGCAGTAGGGGAAAGGCACGCAGTAACAGTGGTGCTGTGCTCACCAGGCAGGGCAGGTCGGGCGGCTCGGCAGTAGGGCGGCCCGGCGGCTGGGCGGCTCTGCGGCTCGGCTGCTGGGCGGCGCGGCTCCCGGGCGGCTCGGCGGTAGGGCGGCTCGGCGGCAGGGCGGCTCGGGCTGGTCGGGCGGCCCGGGCGGCTCGGGAGAGTCGGGCGGCTCGGGCGGCTCGGGCGGCTCGGGCGGCTCGGGCAGGTCGGGCGGCTCGGGCTGCTCGGGCGGTTCGGGCAGCTCGGGCGGCGCGGGCGGTGTAGGGCGGCAGAGCCGCTGGTGAAAGGGGCGGCGGGGCCGCAGGTAAAGGGCGGCGGGGCCGCTGAGAAGGGCGGCGGGGCCGCTGAGAGGGGGCGGCTGGGCCGTAGTAGAAGGGCGGCGGGGCCGCTGAGTAGGGCGGCGGGGCCGCTGTAGAAGGGCGGCGGAGCCGCTGAGTAGGGCGGCGAGGCCGCAGCGAGAGAGGCGGCGGGGCCGCAGAGTAGGGCGGCGGGGCCGCAGCGAGAGAGGCGGCGGGGCCGCAGTGACGGGCGGCGGGGCCGCTGAAACGGGCGGCGGGGCCGCTGAGACGGGCGGCGGGGCCGCAGCGAAGGGCGGCGAGGCCGCGAAGAAGGGCGGCAGAGGCCGCTGAGACGGGCGGCGGGGCCGCAGCGAACGGCGGCGGGGCCGCAATGTGAGGCGGCGGGGCCGCAGCGAGGGGCGGCGCGGCCGCAGCGAAGGGCGGCAGGGCCGCGAAGAAGGGCGGCGGGGCCGCAATGTGGGGCGGCGGGGCCGCAGCGACGGGCGGCGGGGCCGCTGAGAAGGACGGCGGGGCCGCTGAGAAGGGCGGAGGGGCCGCTAGGGCGGCTCGAAGAGGTGAGAGCCCGGAGCGCGACTCGGGCTAAGCGCGCTTCGGGCAGGAAAAAAAAAAAAAAAACGATGTGGTGGGCCCTAGGCACAGTTCCCACGGGGGAACCTGCTCGATACCATGAGAAAGGGAGAACGAGAATGTGTGAACTATGAATGAAGTGAGTACATATAGGAAACCCTAATTGGGTTGTACCCCCTATGGGATACCCCACTATAGCCTACACAACAGCATAAGCTATATAATGTTCTGACAGTACTGACTTCCCCCTTGCCGCACGCCGTCCCCCGAGCTCCTGACTGCGCCCCACCCCCGCTGCTGCCTGCGTTCCTGTGTTAGGGTTTGGGGGTGGAGAGTATGGGGGTGCCGTGTGTGTGAGCCGTCCCCTTCTCCTCCTCCTCCTCCGTCTCCCACTGCTGCAGCTGCCGCTGAGGGGGGTGGATGTGTTGGAGCCGTCGGAGTCGTTCGAGGGGGGTGGCGTGTGAGCAGTGCTAGAGGTGCAGCAGGGAGTGTGTGAACGGGGTGTGCGACAGTTGAGGGAGGTTGACCGGAGGTAGCCGACTTGTCGTCCGCAGCGCCTGAAGTCCAGAGAGCCACGACCCCCTGTAGCCTGAGTAGTCCGGGGCTCTGCGCCCGGTAGCCACAGTGTGTGCACTCCTGGGAGCACAGTGAGCCAGCTGCGCCTGTCGCCGTGTAGTCCGGGTTTAGCCTGGTAGCGACAGTGCTGCGCACTCCTGCTGCCTGTGTGTCTGCAGCTTCAGCCATCGCCTCCCATCTTCTCGCCCTCACAGTTTCTCCTCCTCCTCACTTGCCCTCTGTGACTGCCTCTAGCTTTGCTTATACTGGTGAACTACAGCTTTGCCTGCTTGTTGTTTTGATTGTACCCCACTTTGACTATTGTTGTAGAGTACTCTCCTCTACTATTCAGGAACTGGGAATTGTTCTAATCAGTAGAGCACTCTGTTAGCTTTCCAACGAGCCGTAGATCACCTCAATCACCTAAGTATCGAGCGAGATATGGCTACTAACGTGAAAGCTATGCTCTATGTTGAAGGATTGGAAACTCTCTGGAATTTGTTGTCGAATGCACTGTGTACAAAGTGATTCACGTTTTCCAGTATCGCGGTACTTGTGTAGCACATCGGACATGGGGCTCGTGCTTTGAGGACCGGGTTCAATTGTTCTCACCAGTCACTCTGACGCTTCTTAGGCTGACGACCAGACGACTCACCGGTCGACACAAGGTACAGTTTCAGCCTCGGCACTGGTTCTGTCTCGTGGAGGTCTACTCGCTCTTCGTCTGTACTTAGTTCCAGCTGTGGGGCCGATATCTGCACTGGGGCTATGGCTGCACAGGAGCTCCGCTGGCTGACCTACCTGCTGATCAACTTGGGTGAGCGGCCTCGTTGTCCTCCAGTTCTGTACGTCGACAACAAGGCCGATATTGCCTTGTATCAGGACCAGAGACCGGAGCACAAAACGAAGCACGCGACGGGCAGAAACAGCCGCACACTCGGGGCGCGCGACGGGCAGGAAACTGAGACGCGCCCGGAGCGCGCGGCGAGCAGGAAAGTGGTGCATTAGCGGAAGCTAACGGTGGGCCCAATGAGAAAGGTTCTAGGAACGAGCCTTCTCTGAATACCATGTCGAAATACCTATAGGCTAGGTTAGGAACCAAAAGAGCCATGGCTAGAAGTTAAGAAAAGAAGAGAGGTGACTGCATTAGAAAGATACGGGACTTAGACAAGGAAAGCAAAAGGAATTGGTGCACCACTTACAAAACATAATAACCGCACTACAACTTCAAGCAGCTATAAAAGATGTAAAACATATTTTGACATGACGCGAACCACATTCACTGCACCATCTCAGGCCACCTCCGAATTCAGACGCATTTGTTTGTATATGAAAAGCGTAAAAATATGAATAAAAGAATGGGGGCGAGGGGGGTCTTACTAATTATTTCACCCCAAATGGGGGTACATTATTATATGGGGGGGTCTTTCATCCGGGGGAATACGGTGTTTTTTCGCACTGAAACTAATACAATAAAGGCATATGCAGTGGATCTCATTTTTGTTTTTGTTTACACGAACTCATCTCAAGAGTGATATTCAGAATTTGTGCATTTGCTTGATTACCGGTTGCTACAAAAGCTGAGAGTGCATATATTCACTGCATTGTGTCTGTTACGCGATGTAAGCAGGAGTCCTTGCGGAGAGTACAAGCGGTGGTTAGCTTGCTGTTTGCTGCTGACGTGGCCAGCAAGCTTCCGATTGGAGCTGTTGCTCAGCTTACGATTCAACGTTCAGAAAACACCTGACATGGACGGTCAGGTCCGGTTGGCTACGCGGACATTACCCGGACGTTGGGCAATGAAGAGAACTTGCGCAAACACAACTTGCGCGTGTGACCAGAGTCACTCTCGCAATGGCGGAGAGGATGCAGTTTGCGGTTAGGTCTGCGCAAGGGACAAGGTTCCGACAGTAGCACCATCTGGGCTGCAATGTGGGTTGTTTGAAACGAGAGCATTGGGGAGGGACATAGCTGCACGTTCCTGAGATGCCCCCCACTGTTATTTTCGCCAAGGTGTTGTCCTGAAAGCGATCGTTTCGACCAGCCACGTTTTGAACAGTACGCTGACCGCACTGATTCGCGTGAAATGAATGTTTCAGCCGACCCACCTGAGCGTTGGTGGTGGAGTCAGAGCCACAAAAGGACGCAAGGTATGTTGGTCATCTCCCTCGCGGAGTGCGGATCAGATAGTACAATGATCTGAAACCGAAGCGCAGGATATTCCGACTTCACCTGGCGAACTTGAGGATGCTGTTGAGCGTCGTTCAAGATTCATAAGGCTGTCAAATTTCCACCTGAAACGGTCGCAATTGTTTCGCAAACTTCACATGAACCGAACGGCCTGCTTCCAACATTTCCGTAGTTTTCACCTGAGTCGAGGGCCTCCCAGTTTTCCCACTCGTCTCCTCCTCAGCCTCATCCGCCTCTGGCATTCCCCCCTCGTCGTCAGCCCAGTAATGGCTGATGCATCGTGCTAGTCCCGTGACTGCTGCCTTGTGCTCCTTAGCAAAACCACTTCGCTGTGATGTTGTAGCCTCTGATCCTGCAACAGAATGCTTACGCACATCAGAAGTATTGCTTTCACCAAGGAAGTAGAGCCTGGCTGGCTCGGAATGCAATGACCTAGTTTTGATTACCAACCGCTGATCGATCATGGAGGACTTTCTGTAGGCTAGAATTAGAGACCGTAGCTTAGGAGTGGCTGTTCTCGTTCGCCGTGCTTGTTGGTTGGAGGCTGATAGGGTTTTGAAGGAGAGGAGGCTTCACAGGGTTAGCGGGAGCAGCAGGTTTCCGAACCCATAGTCGAGAGCCGTTCATTCCGGAATAATTTCTCCCGTTGATAATTAACTCACCCTCGCCATACCTCCCCCACCCTAGAATAGTCACACCATGGCGCGCCGTTCAGGAACACCGTACGGGCGTTTGATGAACAAACTCCGAAGTCCGGCTCAGATCATCCTAACCTTTATCATCGGCTTCGTCATCCCATTCCTCTTCTACGTCTTTCTCGATTCCTCCTTCGATGTTGACATCGCGCCGTATTGCTACGTGTTCGTCGTCTTCATGCTCGTGTCCACTGCCTTCGTCGTGTGGGTGGAGTGCTTCCTCGCCGTGTTCATCAAGAACGATCCTCCTGAGCAGCCCGCATCTCCCTACCCCCCTGCTTCCGCCATCATCGCTGCGTACCTGCCTAATGAGAAGGACACCATCCTGGAAACCATCGAAGCCTTCCTAAACATTGAATACCCCGCACCGCTGCAGGTGCGTCTGAATGGCTTTGATTTCTTGTGTATTGTTCACCGTTCCATGCCTTGATCGAGCATCTGAATACTGTCTTGCTCTGAGCAAACGCATTATCTGTCTGTGAGTTTATGTTGTGGAGTTGGATTAACCACCTCTCCCTTCTGTCCGCTTCACGTTGTCCTTCCCACACCCAGGTCATTTTGGCCTACAACACGCCAAAGGACATGCCCGAAATGGAAACCATCCTTGCCGAGATGGGTCAGCAAAGACCCGACCGCTTTCTGCCGTACCGCGTCGTCCACTCGCGTTCCAAGGCGGAGAACGTGAACGCGGCCGTTAAGCTCGTCCGAGGAGAGTTCGTTGGCGTCTTCGACGCGGATCACTGCCCGTCGCACGACTCGTTCATGCGCGCTTGGAAGTGGCTCAGCAACGGCTACGACATCGTGCAAGGCCACTGCATCGTTCGCAACGGCGAAGACAACCTCGTCGCGAAGCTCGTCGCCGTCGAGTTTGAGACCATCTACGGCATCGGCCACCCCGGTTCTGCTGCTATTCACAACTTCGGTTTCTTCGGCGGCTCTAACGGCTTCTGGAAGTCGGGCCTTCTCGCGCAAATCGGCATGGATGCCGCCATGCTTACGGAAGATATCGACTCGTCCATCCGCGTGCTGCTCGCCGGAGGCAAGATCAAGTCCGACCCTGGTCTCATGTCCTCTGAACTCGCCACCACCACCCTTCGTCAAATATGGAATCAACGGCTGCGATGGGCGCAGGGATGGTTCCAAGTGTCAATCCGGCACTTCACTGCCGTCATGACGTCGCGAAACCTGTCGCTGTGGCAGAAGGTCGGCATGTTCCACCTGTTCGTCTGGCGTGAGGTGTACCCGTGGGTGTCGTTGCAGATCCTCCCGCTGCTCGCGTTCCTCGCATACAAGATGGACGGCTTCGGGTCGATCAACTGGCTCGATTCGTTCTACCTTGCCACGACGCTCTTCACTTTCTCGTGCGGGCCCGCGCAAGTCGTCGCCGCGTACTTCGTTTCCGCGAAGAGCATTCGAAAGCGGTCGTTGTGGTGGTGGATGTACATTGTCTTCTCCATGATGTTCTACACTGAGTTCAAAAACGTGATTGCGCGAGTGGCGCACATTAAGGAGTTCATGAGGGAAAAGGCCTGGATGGTCACGCCACGGATACTCTCCCGACGAAGGCGGACGAGCGGTAAAGGCGGCAAGAAAGGAGTCGTCGTGGTTGTAAGATGAGACTTTCTGATTTCATCATGCTCCGCTTCTTCCTTCAACCATGCTCGGTTGGACGGAGGGGGTCGGAGTGGGTTTTGGGGTACGGGGGGCCATGTGCCCATTTGTACTTGATATGGGTTAGGCAGCAGCTATCCCTGCCGTCATGGGCAGTTGTATCCCCATCTAAGCTCTCGAGCGCTCAGGCAGCATTGCACGTTGTCCGCTATCCGTGATTGTGTTCGACCTCCATTTCGAGCGAAGCACACGGAAGTGCCCAGGCGAGCCGGTCTTGCCTTGCTGCCAAATGTTTCCAGATGTAACTGGATTTTATTCAATTGATATTTTTTATTGCAACCATCGGTGTATTTTGCAACTTAAAGCTGAGCAATGTTTCTTTGTATTCTACATTGATAGGTAGATCTAGCATTGGTCCTTGTTGCGGGTGCCAGGTTAGGTTTCAAGCGATTTTTCCTCCGAAACTTTTCGTGGTAACCTGTTTCGCAAACAGTTTCGCTCTGATGAGATGAGCAAGTATGCGAATGCGCATTTCGGCCCCAATTCTTGACTACCCATCAAAGTACTATCCACGTGTAGGCGACGGTTTCGTTTCCGGCAAATGGATTGTTGCCACATCGGACTTACTAAGGACGTTTCGGTTGCAGCCTTCCCTTCCCTTATTGTTCCCACAGTCGAAGGCAAACATCTTCAGCTTGGCAGCATCCTTCGCAGAGGCTGGCGAAAGTTCGAAGCGCATTAGGAAGGTAAATCAGCGCGGTTCGATCATTCTTCCTCCCCCTCATTCGCCTTTCTTCCCCCTCCTGCCCACCACCATCCATCCATCTCGGCCGTTCAATGGAATCCTTGATTTGTTTCGGTGAGAAGCAGCACACACCAGAGAAACTGAAACGACCTCGTGTTGTGAGAGGCCAAAACTGATCGCAATTCCCGCTCACCTGTAAAAACAAAACACAGGCACAAGCGACCATACGGTACCGCCATCGCCTGGCAGGCCGCCTGCATGCAGAAGCACTGAATCACCCACGCGTGCACACTAGAAAATTTGTAGTGTTAGATAATTCGAATCCTCCTTTCCCGTCCTGCTCTATTCGAAGTGCAAGAGACTCTTCCCCGCGCTCCACGCAAAAGTAGTACCGTGTGGCATGCTTCGTCCAGAGAGCTCTCAAGGCAATGATATTTTGCACGCGATTGTCGTGGGATGGAAGTACACAATAACGTTGAACTTACTGGCTCTAACACGACGCAGAGAGAGTTAATTATCTGTCCCAAACCCACCTCGTCTTCAAGGTCGCGTCCAAAGCAGAACGAAACGCTGAGTTTGTTCTTCACTTCTGTGTGGTTTTGACGGATCCTCTTCGCAATCAACCTAACACCTCTTCATGAAGCACCGCGTTTAAAGCGCTTAGAAAGATGATGAGCATCGAAGGTCCCCCGTCGACGCCGCACGCAATCACTCGGAAACTATTGGCAAAGCTGCTCGACGCTGATGGTGGCGCGCATGGGTATGCCGGAGCCATGGCCCCTGCTGCATCTCATCGCGCCGGTTCGAGTCGCGAGGACGCGCATCCTACCCAATACAGTTTCGAGCAAACCGAGCAGCTGCGGAATCAAGAGCGAGGTTATCACCAGCACCGGGATCGCCACGATCGCGCGGAGCACCACCATGTATCCCGACTTCCGCACGCGAACTCGCCGCGGCTCTCCCGCATGGACTCCGACTCCTCACTCCCAACTCGTTGTGACTGCAGCAACCTCCGGGTGGAGCGTCTTTCTATGGATCAGCCTGACAAGGCCTGCAGCGACGAGGACTTCGCGACCACCACTCCTGGCCACCAGTCCGGCCGGATCGAGCGGTTGAAGCGCGAGCTACGACAGCGGCAGCAGCCGCTGCCGCAACCGCAGCAGCAGAGGCCAGCGCAGCTGCTGCTGCTTCGCCGCAACGCCGGGGCTTCGCTAACGCCGCTGACCGTGAGAGCCGTGGGCGCGGCGGCAATGACTACTACTGCTGGTGGAGATAACCTCTCGAAGAGAAGCTCGTCGTCATTGTCGTCGTCGTCGTCGGCCATGGATAGGAGCTCGCAGGAGGGGGAAGACAAAGAGGATGATGGCGCGCCGTCTCGTCCCAGCAGCCGCGGCAGCACCATCAGCATTAGCAGCATCAGCAGCGGCGGCGGTGGCAGCAGCTGCGGCCGCGGCGGTAGTGCCAGTAGCGGCAGCAGGAGGCTGACACCGTCGCACAGCACGGCGGCTACGGCGGCGACGGCGGCGACGGCGGCGACGGCGGCGACGGCGGCGACGGCGGCGGCGGCGGTAGCGGAGCAAGCGGTCGTGAACCTGAGCCGCGCGGCATCATTCTCTGCTTCTTCCGCTGCCACCTCCCCGGCCACCCGCGTCACCACTCCCGCCGCCACCCCCGCGGGCACTGCCACTGGCGCGTCGACAACGCCGATCACACGAGCAGCTGCTGGCGCTCGCCAGCTACGGCCGTCTACCGCGGCTGATCCGGGCTCGCCCGCTCACCAGCCCAGCCCCGCCGCCCCCTCGCCCCGCGCCCGCGATAGTATACTACTCCGGAATTCCCCCGGCAGTTTCTCGCCGTTGTCTCCCCGTTCCCCGCGGCAGTCCCCCCATCGCCCGGGGCTTTCCTCCCCCGCGGCGGAAAGCGGGACGCGCGGAGCACCATCTGCGCCGGGGCACGCGCGCACACACTCGCGCTTCTCTCTCCACGCTCTGTCGAGTTCTGCGGATACTGCGGGTGTTGACACAGCTTATACCGCCGCTATTACCGCCACTACCACCGCCGCTACCACTAGTGATGATTCTGCTTCAGGTACTGCGCTTATTCATGCATCGATCGGTGATACTGCTGGTGGCAGTGCCACAAGTGAAACGTGGCGTGTGAGCCAGCCGACTCGAGCTGGGCGTAGCGGCAACGGAGGCGGCGGCAGTGGCGGCGGTGGCGCTGGAGGCAGGCTTACTCGAGCTCACAGCAGCATAGCCATCGGTATTGCGCAGGACGCTGTGTCTTCATGTTCTCTTATCAGCAGTGCTCCTGGTGATATCTCTCCTACCCTTCTCGCTTCTACAACCAGCAAGCATGCCGCGGCGGCTTCCGCTTTCTCTTTCGCCAATGCGAGCGGCGGCGGTCGGTCGGCGGCTTTGCCGCGGGCCATGTCGATGGAACCGCTGCGGTTGGTAACGAGGGCGATTAATTCAGCGCAGAACGCGATCGTGGCGCATGCGAGGGGCAGTGCTGCTGCTGGTGATGCTGTGGATGATGCCAACGCTGGTGCTGCTTCTCCTGCTGCTGCTGCTGCTGGTGCTGCTGGTGCTGGTGGTGATCTGCGAGGGTTTGCGAGCACCAGCGGTGGTGAGGCAGGCAGATCGCAATTCCTCGTCCCTGCTGATGACACTCAACCCTCTCGGAATGGTGTCATTTCCGTTGTCCCTGGTACAAGCTCTACCGTTTCCGGGACAAACCGTCATTCGAATAATTCGGTAACATTTCAACCCAGTCCGAGCAACAACTCACTCCTCCTCACCCCCAAGAATACCCACTCGCCTCGCACCAGGTTCGTGCCCCGGGTCCCCCGCAGCGCACCCTTTCCGCATCCACAACCACATGCCCATGCGCACCCGATTGCGCACGCGCAAGCGCAAGCGTATGCGCTTTCTCATTCCTCCGCGCATGCGCAGCCGGGCTATCCTCACCCCGGCCGCCATCCCGCGCGCCCGCCCTCTCGCATCCCCCGCTCCGCGCCGCTCCCAGTTCCCGCCAACCACTCGCGCGGCGTTAGCCACTCCGCAGGTTCACCGCCCCCTTTTGCGGGGCTTCCGGCGCGATGCGGGGAGGCCCACGCGCCAAGAAAGCCTGCTGGAGCAGCAGGGGCAGCAGCGGCGGCGGCGGCGGCTGCGGCGGGGGTATCCGCGGAGGGCTGGCGGAAGCTCCCGCTGCGGGGAATCGAGCGCGCGGCGAGCAGCGAAGCCGCATGGAGCCCGCGCGGGGGAATCCGAGCGGAAGGAGCGCCGAGCGCGCGTATGGGCGCGGGTTTCGGTGGGGGGATGGGCGCAGGGGCTGGGGGAGGGATCTCGAAGAGCTATAGCGGGAACTGGGGCGACTCTTATGGCGGACGCGGGGTGAGTAGCGGGAGAGCGGGGAGCATGAGCGCAACTAGCAGCCCGAGGGGTAGTAGGAACCTCATTAAGGCCATGGGGATGGCGCGCAGTGATAGTATGGGGGCATCTTTGAACAGTATAGGCGGCTTGGGAGGGCGTATGGATGGTTCTTTGGATGCTAGTGGTGTGGGCAGCGGTATGGGTGGTAGTATGAGTGGTGGTGGTGGGTTGGAGGGTATGGTTGGTGGTGGGAGGTGGATTGCGACGGGTAGTTGCCCTGTCACGCCACAGTGTGCCATCCGAGCCTTTGATAGCCCACGTGGGAGGCCCCCATTGGCTCGGAATCCGGCCATTAGCCCGTCTCCTTCAAAGGAGGAGAGTGGCAGGGAAAGGGGTGGCGAGGAGGAGAGAGTGTTGGAGAGAGGGGAAGAGAAGGTGGGGCAGGAGGAGGGGGTTGTGGTGGAGAGAGCATGGGGGATGGAAGAGGAGGTAGGAGAAGGGAGCAGGGAAGAGAGTGGAGGGGTTAGGATGCAGTTACTGCAGTGGAAGCAGGGGGGCGGTGGTGGTGTGGGAAAGGGTATGGGGCGAATATTAGTGACACAGAAGCAAGAGGCGGTGGTGAGGTGGAGTAAAGGGGGTGCTGCTGGTGGGAGGATGGGAGGGGAGGGAGAGGAGGCGGAGGGATATGAGAGCAGGAAGAAGGTGCGGGAGGGTGAGGAGGAGGAGATGGAGATTGCTCGAGTGGCTGTTGATGGTGGTGTTCGTGAGAACCATGGTGGGTACGGAAAGGGCAGAGGAAGCAGCAGCGGTGAGACTGGCATGAGCTACAGCAGTGTAAGCATTTGTCTTGATCCAGCTGATCCCACCGGTAGCAACACCAGCACCAG